GATATGCGACGTTGTACCGCAAGAGGTCTTCTCGTGTTTGTGAGCCGAGCAAGACGAGGCAGGGATTTTGCGATCGCGTGCTTTTTTGAGCGGCCGCCGTCACATTCGGGCAGCCACGAGGGAATTTGAGTGGACGCGTGGCCACGCTCGCCCATCGGTCACGGAGACCCAATCCAAGGCCCCCCCACCCCCAGCCAAAGCGTTCACTGCTCCGGTCCCATGACCGCTTGCTGGAGGTGAAGATTAATGATCGACACCTGTGTGCCAGCCCTTAACATAATACATATTTTCAAATCTAGTTTGAAAACAAATGTCTTTAGAACTGCTTTTTGTGTTTAGTTTGTTGTCCGTCCCCCGTACCTCCGATTAGCACGGTTGGCTAGGTACAGTAGCGAAATAAGTTCAACAACAACCGCTATTCGCCACTAATGAGCGGTGACATCACCACGTCGCTTGTGCCAGGCTACGTGCACTTTAAGGCCATGTAAAGTGTCGAACGCCCGCCGGCAGGAGGTCACGGGACAGCCCCAGGTGCCATGGGTTGACTGACCGAGATGCGCCTGGATAGTTCTTAGATGGGTGAAGTTCAACACACACACACAGCAGGGGATTGACAAAGTTGACAAAGGACGGGCTGCTGCACATCACGTGGCGTGTTCCGCAGCTCCGTCCGTTGCCTTGAATTCCGGCTCCTCCGTGGCCCTGCGTCCCCCCTGGGGGGTGGGGGGGGGGGCACAACGAGGCCGGGGGACGCTAAACCAGCAGCACCGTCGGAGGGCCTCTGAGCCACCAGGCAAGTAAAGCTGCAGCAGATGTCCCCTGGTTTTGGACGGCCTCGGATAGGCGGTGTTGAGGTGGGGTGGAGGGGGGGATAGTTTTCAATGTTTAGGTGTCATTCTGTGTGGGGTTTTTTGTTTGTTTGCGGGAGTGGGTAGCTGGAGGGTCGCGGCCGGCCTGCTCCGATTCAATCTGTCGACATGCACTCCGCGGCGGGTCCCGCAGGGGATCAGGGGATGGGTCGCGCAGTCGTTGATCGCGTGGATTCACCACGCGCCGCGCCCGGTCTCCCTCCGACAGCTGCAGTGGCAACAGCGGCAGCTGCTGCTGCTGCGTTGGAGCTCCGTCCACCAGCTCCCCCCCTCCTCCTCCTCATCCTCACTCCAACCCTAGCCCTCCCGTCACCGCCGCCACGACCACCAACCACCACCACCACCGCCACCACCGTCGGACACGAGCCCTTCCAGCCAGCGGGCAGCGCGCACAATGGCCAGTGACGCTGTAGCAAAGCTTAATGACCGTCTGTCCGCGGACAAGAGGCTCTCAAAAGGACCCGCAGCGAAGAATGAAGAATAACTCCATCTGTCACGTCTTGGGCACAATGCAATGGAGGGGAGAAGAGAGGTCTGGGCGTTGGGGGGGTTGGACGCTGGCAGGATGGAACCCCTTGAGGCTCAGGGTGCGGCACACGCCTCTTGTTGCTCTGTTCAGACGTCCACCCCCCCTCGCCGCTATTGTCCCCTAATCGTGCCCCTCTATAGCCCCCCCCCCCCTCTCTGCCATCTCGACATTGTCCGTGGGCGGGCGGGATCCTTTGCTTCATTAGAAGCACGCGCCATCTGTACGTCCACGCGGGGGCAGACGGGCCCCGACCCCGGCACGCGTGTCGAGCCGGTGACACGCGTCAAGGTAGCCTGCGACACGTGTCGAAGGGTAGCCTGTGACACGTGTCGGGGTAGCCTGTGACACGTGTCGGGGTAGCCTGTGACACGTGTCGGGGTAGCCTGTGGCACGTGTCGAGGTAGCCTGTGACACGTGTCAGGGTACCCTGCGACACGTGTCGAAGGGTAGCCGGCGACACGCGTCGCAGGGTAGCCTGTGACACGTGTCGGGGTAGCCTGTGACACGTGTCGGGGTAGCCTGTGACACGTGTCGCGGTAGCCTGTGACACGTGTCAGGGTAGCCTGTGACACGTGTCGAGGTAGCCTGTGACACGTGTCAGGGTAGCCTGTGACACGTGTCGAGGTAGCCTGCGACACGTGTCGGGGTAGCCTGAGACACGTGTCGGGGTAGCCTGTGACACGTGTCGGGGTACCCTGCGACACGTGTCGAGGTAGCCTGTGACACGTGTCGGGGTAGCCTGTGACATGTGTCGGGGTACCCTGCGACACGTGTCAGGGTAGCCTGTGACACGTGTCAGGGTAGCTTGTGACACGTGTCGAGTAGCCTGTGACACGTGTCAGGGTAGCCTGTGACACGTGTCAGGGTACCCTGCGACACGTGTCGGGGTAGCCTGTGACACGTGTCGAGGTAGCCTGTGACACGTGTCGCGGTAGCCTGTGACACGTGTCAGGGTAGCCTGTGACACGTGTCAGGGTAGCCTGTGACACTTGTCTGGGTAGCTTGTGACACGTGTCGGGTAGCCTGTGACACGTGTCGGGGTACCCTGCGACACGTGTCGGGGTACCGTGCGACACGTGTCGAGGTAGCCTGTGACACGTGTCGAGGTAGCCTGTGACACGTGTCGAGGTACCCTGCGACACGTGTCGGGGTACCCTGTGACACGTGTCAGGGTAGCTTGTGACACGTGTCTGAGTAGCCTGTGACACGTGTCGGGGTAGCTTGTGACACGTGTCGGGGTAGCCTGTGACACGCGTCGGGGTAGCCTGTGACACGTGTCGAGGTAGCCTGTGACACGTGTCAGGGTAGCCTGTGACACGTGTCAGGGTAGCCTGTGACACGTGTCAGGGTAGCCTGCGACACGTGTCTGGGTAGCCTGTGACACGTGTCAGGGTAGCCTGTGACACGTGTCAGGGTAGCCTGTGACACGTGTCGGGGTAGCCTGTGACACGTGTCGGGGTAGCCTGTGACACGTGTCAGGGTATCCTGCGATACGTGTCGGGGTAGCCTGCGACACGTGTCAGGGTAGCCTGTGACACGTGTCAGGGTAGCCTGTGACACGTGTCAGGGTAGCCTGTGACACGTGTCGGGGTAGCCTGTGACACGTGTCAGGGTAGCCTGTGACACGTGTCTGGGTAGCCTGTGACACGTGTCAGGGTAGCCTGTGACACGTGTCAGGGTAGCCTGTGACACGTGTCAGGGTAGCCTGTGACACGTGTCAGGGTAGCCTGTGACACGTGTCGGGGTAGCCTGTGACACGTGTCGGGGTAGCCTGTGACACGTGTCGGGGTAGCCTGCGACACGTGTCGAGGTAGCCTGTGACACGCGTCAGGGTAGCCTGTGACACGTGTCAGGGTAGCCGGCGGCGGTGGCGGCGCGGAGCGTGCGGAGCACACAACACCGGAGGAGGTGGCTCAGCTGCTGTTGGGCGAGGAATTTTAGTTTGTATTTGTTTCACGTTACGTGACTTGCTTTCTTCTTCTCTTTTCCCACCAATTGCATTCAGATTTGCGTTTGTCGGCGTCCCGGCACGGGATGAAGAAAACGTCCGTTCAGAAACGCCGCGGCTGACGGTGCTCCACCGGGCGCGAGGGTCGGGAAAAAACCGGAGGGTCGAGTCGTGATTCACGTCGACAATGTGTGTGCTGCGTGAAGTTAAAACTCATGTTGCCCGTGAATTTTTTGCGTGAAACTTCACCGTTCAACTAGAGACTGATTAATTAACGCATACGATCGTCAGTGTTCCCGACTCGTTATTTGAATGCTCACGCAGAATCCTGCTTGGGACATTTGGCAAATCTGTTTTTGGGCTTTGCAGCAATTACAGCACTGCTCCAGTTCCTTGGTCAGAACGCCGCCGATTCGCGTGCGCTGCGTGTTATGAACCGGGCCGCTTGCAGCCGATTCCTGCCACTGCTAACATCAGCGATAACATCTACACAACCAATTCTGAGCTCCACTCTTTCTTCACCAACCCACGCTGACCAGCATGGCGAAGTATGGTCAAACAGCCACAGTGACTCGCACGGCATCGGGAGGCCTCCATCCAAATCGTAGCACTCCGTATCGGCACGACACACAATTGATATTGTCTGTCCTGATGCCACGTAACCCCTGTTTCAATCTTGGTCCACAGATAATTGTCTCGAGTGTCTCTTCCAAAACGCATAAATCATTTTACGTCCACTGCTAGACGCAGGGCACTCCAAGCCATCGCGGGAGAGTTTTCGCAGCACTGAAACGGCCAATAAAAACTGTCGGCCTGCTTTGCAATTTTTTTTAAAGCACAACACATTTGTCAAGAGCACTGCTTACTGCCTTTAAAGGAAAATAATATAATACGCGACGTTTCGGCCAATGGCCCTTCTTCCCAGCACGTAAAAAGGCCATCGAAGAAACAGCGATGTTTAAGTCACTGTCTGTTTGAGAGAGAGAGAGAGAAAAAATAACTGTTTACGTTTTCAGCAACAACAAAATGTGTCGTGGGTAACCAACACTCCGGTGTGCCACCAGAGATTACGCACAGCTGGCCTCCCAAGCGGGCGAGGACGTGTCCCCCGAGTTGATAACACCAGCGCATGTTCTTTTCATCTCATCCCTCAAATTCTATCCCAGTTGTGCGATCGGTATCGCGTCCTGAAACCAAACACCCATTCCGAACGCTCACAGAGCAGCGCAACCCTTTGTCTTCAGAGAACGGCCCGCGAAAGCGGATATCGCAGAACTACATTTGAGATCCCTTTTGAGTGACGTCTGGTCCACACATTAGGAGGCAGCACTTCCCGATGTGCCGCCGAAAATAACGCTCGTCGCACAACAGTCAAAACTGGCACAATTAGTTTGTTTGTCAAGGCTGGAATTGAATCAAATTGAGTGCAAAACCAAAATTAATGTGATGGCTTGTTTTTTTTGTGTTCAGTCGTTCTGACCGAATTGAGACCATCAACTCTACAATTCAAAACCCAGGCTAATCACGCGTGGCCAAAATCGGGATTTGCACCCGGCACTTTTGTGGTGCCAGCTCAGCGCTCTGATCTCTGAGCCACCCCGGCGTTATCCCGAGGTTTCGCGCGTGCCACGCACGGTGCCGTGCGCCGTCCTACCTTGGTGCTGTCCTCCACAACTCTCAGTCCGTCGGCCGACACCCACAGCATGGCTCGCGTTTTCTTCTGACCGCTCTGGGAACAAAGATAACGCGACGGCAATGGGCGGGAGTTGACTTCGCAGGCACCGGCGAGAGATGAAGATCGTCGTCCAACAGCCCTGCTGGGTGAAGCTGTCCCGTGCGACGGCGAAGCCAATTGTGGTCTGAAACCACTCCAAGGAAAGCAGGAAACGACGAGGCGGATTTTCATTGCCTCTCTCTATCTCTGTCGGTGAGACTGCGTTCGATTTTTAGCGATGTTTCCTGGCTTAGCCAGTGAAGTTCGTCCCGAGGAGCTGGTGAAAACGCACTGGCGCTACGTAACCCCTCACCTCCACCCAGATGAAAATTCTCGCTGTGATAAATTAAGGTCGTATTAAACGGCTTTTCTATTTTTTTTATTTTAAAACTCATCACAACCGGTGTAAAGAGTCCTTTATACTAAATACTGCACGAATCACGAGCTGTTGCTGCTCTTCGTTTACCGCGAGGACACCGATTAAGATTGTAGGGCGCCTTGAGACATTCGTGGAAGGCGCCTTACAAATAAATGTAAATTATAATTATTATTAATGTCTGATTGGCTGGGGGGAGGAGGGGCTCTTCCTGCTGAGCACACGCAACGGGCCCCGGTCTCCCGTAACTGAGGCTCAAGGCCAGCGTAGAGCGGCTCGTGTTAGTCAACGTTAAAACATCACGAGGAAACAACATGCAGACGAACGGTGTTAGTTGCATGCTAGCGAAGACCGCGCGCGCAAACTCACAGCTCCCAGCGAGCTCATCAGTCCGCCGTGCAGCGTTAGCTCACGAGCACCCTGTCCCGCGCTTCAGCTTTCGTGAAGATGCCACCTTTGGGCTGCCCCGCGCTAGTGTCATGCGCGGTGTCATCATCATTATTATTATTGTGGATTGATTGCTAGATGTACATTTATTACATGGTTCTGGTTGTGGATTGTTATTTATTCGTCATGTTTGTACAAATTTCCCCATCTTTGGTTCCATGCAAACCCGCTGCACGCACCAATTCATTCTCACGTCACGAGCTCACTCTGGACGGGTCGCCTTTTAAAAAGAGATCCTCATGCTCATGGGGCCTCACCCCCCAAAAAATGTGAAGACGCCTGAACTGACTGACACCCACCATGGCTCTGCAATGCAGCTGCACAGTTGTCTTCTGAGTCGATACAAAGTATGGCACTATTTGGAGATTTCTGTTGTTGCAGTGGTGTTAATTTATCATTTATATTTCAGTTTTTCATTCCAAGACTTATTGAAACTGCAATTCAGGAGTCAGCATTGACTGTGCGTTATAAACGGTTTCCCCACGCTAATGAGTGAGTTTTCAAATGCTTGTTATTGCACATTTTTGAGAAATTATGAGGTTTTTTTAAACATTTCTGATGTTTATATTTGTATACGGTGTCAGCTCCGCGTCCTTTTTTACATTCAGTAGGCAACAAAATGCATGAAAGCGCCACTGTGGCCGAGAGAGCAAAAGTTATTTTAAGATACATTTATTTTTCATGAGGAGGATGTGGCAGAGGACAAACAACCGTGCAAGTGCCGCCCGTGCTTGTGTGTACTGATGAATCGGACATCTGTCTAAACCATTTTTTGTTTACTTTTTTTTTATCTTACCAGCCAAGGCCCACTGAGCTACAGTACGTGGCTCTTTTTCAGAAGCGACCTCGCCACAAATGATAGCTCAACGAAGTGGCCTGTCACGTGGAAATTTATAGCAGCCAAATAATTGAACGCATGTTGATCCTAAATGTGGAGGGCGAAGCTGGAAGGACAATCCACGCAACGACGGGGAGAACATGCAAACTCCAAATATACAGCAGGCGTCAGGGTCGGGATTGAACCCACGAACCCCCTGTATACCAGGAGAGGTAATTAACATCTCGCCACCGTGGGCGCCCCATGTCTACTTCGCACCTCCCTCTGGAATTTGTTTCCCGCGAGTAGTTTTCACCCCGCTTGTACCTACGTCCGAGCGCCACGGACGACCGTCATCTTGAGGTGGCCTCGTTCACAAACATCGGAGGCCGCGTCGCACCAACGCTAGGGCGCACGGAGAATGCGGATTTCCGTTCAGCCGCATCGCGTCGTCGACGTGTGTGCCCTCGCGAGAGGAGGGGAATGTTCCACCTTGCCAGTAGAGGCGCACGCCTGCCCGCACACGAAGCACGCGGGTCGTCGCGGCGCCAAAATCGATCGGGTGGTAAACTTTGAACGTGTTTAACCGACCCTGATGTTTTCCCACCCATTTGACCTTCCCAAATCCATCCGAATCGTTTAACCTCCCCCCAAAAAAAGAGAAACTATGGATGCCGTTGCGTCGGTGAATTACCGCGCGTCACAGGCAGCGCACGGCGTCTGCGTGGCCGGGCACGCGGCGTCTGCGTGGCCGGGCACGCGGCGTCTGCGTGGCCGGGCACGCGGCGTCTGCGTGGCCGGGCACGCGGCGTCTGCTGCCATCAAGGCCGTCAGCTTGCAGCCAGCGCCGCTAGATGGCTCAAGAATACGGACGCCAAATTTATACCGAACGTCGCTCTTCCAGTCATCCAAGTTTCCTCCCTCTGCAACGCGCCGTACACGCCGCAGCTCAGTCTTGCGAGCATGTCTTCTTGTTTTAGTGTTGTTACTTACCTTCTCCGAGTGCGCTGTTTATGTGTATTCGCTTGCGCGTGCGCAATGCTTTTTAGTGTGTTTGGCTGTGATCTACGTGAAATAATGTCATGATCAATAATTAATAGAATCACAATTACCATTTCTATGGCAGAAGTACCCAGCTCACAAATAATCATTCAGAGGAAACATAGTTGGGAAACGAATGATACATATCCCGTATGTCCGTACACTCACTGTGCATCTGTTTATTTTACATTGAAGAAAAACGTCCCAGACCAATGACTGTTGTTTCGCGATGGTGGGCATCGACTCCGGCAGGCAGAGAATTACGGAGAATGGTTCTGCGTTAATTGGCTTCCCCGCTGCACTCGTTATTTTTGTTCGCGAGCTGCCGGGTGTGAACGCGCGGGCACGTCCGCGAGCTATGGGGACGCGCAATGCACTCGTGAGATTACGGAAATAAATTCCGATGCAACGGGGCAAATCCCCAGCTTTTGCTTTTTTTTTCATTTTCTGCTCAAGGATTCATCCTGTGTCCGCATGTTACCGCGCTACTTATAAGCGGTCTGTCCAATGTGGAAGACAATGCCAAAATACCCCCGAGAGGGGCCACATCTAGAAGCTCAATCTAGTGAGGAGGCATTTCCGCCATAAGTGGTGTTAGTAAGCATTTGCAGGGCTGTACGTTTACCATGTAAAATATATGTAAATAAATGCACACAAAAAAGTATGCCAATTGTCAATACATCAATGGATGTAGGCTTCCCCCATGCCATGTCGGTCATGGGGTTTTCTATTTGACCACACTTCGCCGAGTTGGTCAGTACGGGGCTTGGTGAAGCGAGGTTCGGGCACGACTGCTTCAGATATCACTCGCCACCGATGTTACGCTATCGCCTGAAATAGAAACTCGGGGCGCCGGAATCTTAGCAGAGCGCCTCTAACCAACGGTAGGCCGCTCCACCTGACGTTCCCTTATCGCACTCCTTTTCACGATTTTATAGAGGCGGGTGAGGGGGGCACAGTTAAAAAAACCACACGCTCTTCAATCAGTAGTCATTCCAAACGCTGCCAAAACATTACAGGGCAAAACCACCACCACAAGCCGACGTGCGAGGTGTTATTGGCATGCGGTTAACAAAAAAAAACACGTCTCGCGTTAAGACTACAACGGGGGAAAGAACGGACATTGCGACAGGTGCTCTCTGCCGTGTCACCACTTACTCTGGAGAAGAACGATATCGGAAACTTCTGACTCTGTCGTGGCGAGGAGAAAGGTACAACATCGTACATGAGACGGGGAGGGGGAATTGCGGTTCCCAATGTTCCCTGAGACTCGCGCAAGCTGAGCTGGCAGAGGCAGTCCCCCAGCACAAGTGAAGAAACTGCAATGCAAATACAAAGCCAACTCTGTGCAGGTATTACGAGGTTTTTGGGCTACATCCGCTGGAGATCACCAATTCGACCGAATGGCCGTGCCACTCGAAAGCTCTCGGAAGCCACGTGCAGGCACCCAGGGCACAAGCGCAAGCGGCTGCGCGTGAATTTTTGTTTTGTTTGGGGCTTCATTGCCGAGCCGGTGAAAATATTGCTGGGAAATTTCACCGCCGATGAAAGCTATCCACAGTGAACAAATGATTCAAATAAATTGGCAAAAAAAGCAGATTTAATAATAGGAAAAAACTAAAAAAGTTAACAGTCGCCGAACGAAAGAGGGGTGATGTACATCTCCCTCTTCACAGCCCTGAGCCAGTGGTGGAAATTCCTCATTCCTATGGTGGGGGTGAGTTATTCTATGGGACACCAATTGTTGACTTGTTATCGACCCCAGAGAGATGAAAGGTTTAGTCAACCCCTGATCGGGACTTGAACTCTTGCATTGACACTTGAATGTGCCGTATGTTGCTGGCCGTTTGGCATTTTGGGTCTCAACTACTATGATTTAATACATTTTTTAAAAACCTTCCGGCTGAGTAACTTGAAGTGGAATGTTCCGCAATCTTAACATTCACGATGCCTTCTTTATTCGCTCATGAGAAGCTTTGTTAACCGAGACATCCAACAGTAATTAGCAGGTTGGCTTCAGAGGCTGGTTTGAATTTGTGTGTGTGTGTTTTTGTTGTTGTTAAGAAAACAGAGCAAGCACGTGACCGAACGAAATCGGGGATACAAAAGCGGCAATTAAAGCGGGATACATCTGCGAGATTATTCTAATTGGGTTAACTCGCGGCGATGGGCGACACAAATCAGTTTTTAAAAGGAATGAATCAAGAGGCATCCCCAGGACGGTGGCGCGGTATTGTGCCGCTTTTGTTCGGAGCGCGGCCGCGGGGATTGGCACGGGACCCACGCCTCGCCCTCGCACGGCGATCGCTACCCCCCCCCCGCCCTCTCACCATTCATCGCAAATCCTCGCACACGCGGCGCGGAGCGGGGAGCGAGCGCAACGCGCTGCCTCTTAGCGTCTCCGGCGGTCGAGGAGAGCCCCTGAATTAAGAATGCGGCGAAGTAAAAACGTCGCGTCGCAGTCGGCGTGACGTGGCATGAAGGCAAACGGCTTAGAGGGGTCGGATTAAACTAAACGATTTTTTTTTTATCATTTTATTAAATAGTTTTTACCCGCTAAGATAAAATTAACAAATGAAACAAACCGCTTCCGCCAAGAACGCTATTTCCTCCGAGGCAGCTTTGTAGTCTGGCTTCCACGCTGACACGCACCGTGCCCCCGCGTTCATATTGAGTCGGTTGCGTCCATCTTCAGATGTTTAGATTGTAACAATTACGATAATACTTTTTTTAATCCAAGAAAGCCTCACTTAGTCTCAAGACCCTTTTAATTTCAGGAGGATCCCGTGTCAAAAGGTTGTCTGAGCCCCTAAACGCGCTTCGGAGAGATGAACGGGGCAAGTGAAGTATGGTCAACCAACACCCACGACTGGCTCAGTGTGGTGGGCATCTCATCCAGCAGTGGATTAGCAAGTTATTTTATAAGTTAAAGAATGCCTTGATTTGTGAACTATGTAAATGGTTATGGAGGACCGCTCACCATCTTCTGTTCCCATGAGCCAGTGGTGGAAATTGTCACCGTCGGATTCCCACTAATTTTTTTGAACCCTGGAGAAATTAAAACATGACGTGCAGGCCACTGCACCATCGCTGCGGAGACCTTGTGCCCCTGCAGGGACACTGGGGGCAGCAGGGGCATTGAAAGGTGGAGCTGTGATGTAAGGCGTTTTAATGTCTCTGCTAACGCAAATGTTTATCCTTGCCGCACCTTTACCGACGTGGTGAATCTGGTGCTTGCAAAAAATTCACGATGATTACGTCGTAATGTTACGCAAAAGATGAACTGATAGATTTTGATTTAAAGCTTTCGTGACTGCAGGGGATTCATATTCTTGGTTCTTTCGGTAAAGTCACGTAGAAGGGAAACAATAAATTAATAAAAATATAAAACAATAAAATTCTCACGTTTCGACTGCAACACAAGCAATCATCATCAGGTGTGAAAACCACAGCAAGAAAATTTGAAAAAGGTGGCGGTTTTTTTTAACGTTAGCACCACGGAGAGCGATTTGGCAGTTTGTTCAGATGGACGAGTCCATCTATGTTTCCCTTTTACATGACTTTACCGAAAGAACCAAGAATATTAACTGAAAGGTGTTGTATATTGTTGATGTTTCCATTGAATAGGCTCCCATCTAGTAGTTGGGAGTGCTCTTGCCAATAATATCTGGTAACTCAGCGATACTTCTTCTTTGGTTCTTTCGGTAAAGTCACGTAGAATGAGAATAAAATAATAAAATAACACAATAAAATTCTCACGACGTTTCAGCCACAACGCGTTGTGGCCGAAGATGAATCCCTGCAGTCACGAAAGCTTCAAATCGAAATTCAGCGATACTTGTATAAAGTGGCTAACGCTCCTGATAAGACCAGTCCAGAGTTATTTTATTTTTGTTTAAAAAAATAACTGTGCTGCTGGGAAACTTTGGCTCATGAACTAATTTTTATTTTACACGGAGAGACGAACAGAAGTCTAGATATTTATTTCCCAGTAATGCAGGCAATGTATGCATAGCCAGTCAGATTTGCTTATAACCCTGGTGGTAATGTCGTCACCGTGAAAAACAAACTTTATCTGTAATTGAGTACCTCGTCACATACACAACTAATTACCTTTGGCCAGTAAGAACACTCAGCTGCTAACCCCCCCCCCCCCCCCCCCCCACTATTTATCGAGAAACACACACACACGTGCGTGATGCTAGCATAATTTTTGAGAAAGACAACCAATGCAATTCCACCGTTATGACAAATGAAAAAAGACATCCAATCTGCAGTACGAAGCCGGAGAGACCGAAATGAAATTACCAAAAAAAGTTGGCACGCGTTGGTGACTGGCAAGCCATGAACCCTGTTTTGCAGCTCTCGACGAAACAATATCGGACGTTAACAACAAAATAACGCGGTCACATCACGGCAGCGGTGATTGCCCGGCGGCAAAGCCGTTCAGCCAAATGCCGGTCAAACTAATTGAGACCGAACAAAAACTTAGAAAAAAAACTCTCTCTTCCCCCCCCCCCCCCCACACACCGCCCCCTTCCACAGCGTCTCTCCGATGCAATTTTCGCTCTGCCGTGAGCAAACGTCGACACGAAAGGCGAGTCAACAGCGTGCCGCGGGAAGGGGGCCATTGGCCCAAGTGCGTTGCGAGCTAAGCGGCAGCCAGGGCCGGTAGAGGGGGGGTGGTGTGCGGAGGGAGGGAGCAGCAGTCGTGGTGTCCGCGCGCTGACGATGTGGGCTGCCTGCCCCACGAACGCGAAGGCTTCTCGTTTATGTTTTAATCACAATAATGGTCACAGCGTGTCACGGAAAGCAACCCCCCCCCCCGCCCCCCCAGCGTTCGGGGGTGGGGGCTGGGGGAGGTGAAGGGAAGGGGGGTCGAGAGAAGACTCAGCCCACCCTTCTGAATCTGTATGGTCAAGTAAAAAATATAAATTGGCATAATATATAAAACGAGTGAAATAGAGGGTTGGTTAATAGTGCACAAATGAGTGTGATTCAGTGTTGGGCATTTCAGGTTCTTCCCATATACGCCCAGTGGGTGAGAGGGAGAGCATAATGGGCGGTAGACAAGAGCAAATCGCATCGTTACTCATTTTGTTTTGCTCAGCATTCAACGTTTGCTTAAAGCTTGTTAAACATTGACTGTGTCGTGCCCCCCCCCCCCCTCTCCCTAATCCCCCCCTACCCCCCGGAGTTATTGTACACGCTCACATTAAACGCGGTCACGTTGCAGACTCACCCTGCAGGGTGAGTCTGCAGGCTTACCCTGCAGATTTCACGCTGCAGGGTCACACTGCCGGGTCACAATGCAAGGTCACACTGCAAGGTCACACTGCAGGGTCACAATGCAAGGTCACGCTGCAGGGTCACACTGCAGGGTCACGCTGCAGGGTCACACTGCAGCGTCACAATGCAAGGTCACACTGCAAGGTCACACTGCAGGGTCACAATGCAAGGTCACACTGCAAGGTCACACTGCAGGGTCACAATGCAAGGTCACACTGCAAGGTCACACTGCAGGGTCACAATGCAAGGTCACACTGCAAGGTCACACTGCAGGGTCACAATGCAAGGTCACACTGCAAGGTCACACTGCAGGGTCACAATGCAAGGTCACACTGCAAGGTCACACTGCAGGGTCACAATGCAAGGTCACACTGCAAGGTCACACTGCAGGGTCACAATGCAAGGTCACACTGCAAGGTCACACTGCAGGGTCACAATGCAAGGTCACACTGCAAGGTCACACTGCAGGGTCACAATGCAAGGTCACACTGCAAGGTCACACTGCAGGGTCACAATGCAAGGTCACACTGCAAGGTCACACTGCAGGGTCACAATGCAAGGTCACACTGCAAGGTCACACTGCAGGGTCACAATGCAAGGTCACACTGCAATGTCACACTGCAGGGTCACAATGCAAGGTCACACTGCAATGTCACACTGCAGGGTCACAATGCAAGGTCACGCTGCAGGGTCACACTGCAGGGTCACACTGCAGCGTCACAATGCAAGGTCACGCTGCAGGGTCACACTGCCGGGTCACAATGCAAGGTCACGCTGCAGGGTCACACTGCCGGGTCACAATGCAAGGTCACGCTGCAGGGTCACACTGCAAGGTCACAATGCAAGGTCACGCTGCAAAGTCACACTGCAGGGTCACAATGCAAGGTCACAATGCAAGGTCACGCTGCAAAGTCACACTGCAGCGTCACAATGCAAGGTCACGCTGCAAGGTCACGCTGCAAGGTCACACTGCAAGGTCACGCTGCAGGGTCACACTCCAAGGTCACAATGCAAGGTCACGCTGCAAGGTCACGCTGCAAGGTCACGCTGCAGGGTCACACTTCAAGGTCACAATGCAAGGTCACGCTGCAAGGTCACACTGCAGGGTCACGCTGCAAGGTCACACTGCAGGGTCACGCTGCAAGGTCACGCTGCAGGGTAACGCTGGAGGGTCACACTTCAAGGTCACGCTGCAAGGTCACGCTGCAGGGTAACGCTGCAGAGTCACGATCTAGAGTCACGATCTAGAGTCACGCTTTAGAGTCATGCTGCAGGGTCATCCTGCAGGGCTGCTGGGAATCCACGCCGATTCTCAAGGCTCTTTCAGAGAACGATCCGTGTGGTGAGATGTTGGCCAATGTCTTGAATGTTTTGAATGAACTGGCCCTGGCGAGAGAGTGTGTAGAGGAGAGAGTGGACCTCGTGGAGCTGTGCGCAAATCAGCGGGGACAATTCCCTGTGCATTTTACTCTGAATGTGACGTCAGTCAGATTCGCCAGTGACGTCCGCCTACATTCACTTTTGTTTTGCAAGAGGGTTGTCAAATTGAAGAGACATGAAAACGGCGATTTGCCGTATAATTGCGAGACATTAGAGGCGTAATGATGCGGCGGACTCATGAACATTGCTTCTCAACTTCGCGATATTACGGGGAAGAGCGCGCACGAAAACACTCGACCATTTTTCAGCTGATATATCTGTCGTGAGTAACAGACCCATGTGACTTTTACAGCGGCTAGAGGTTGCTAGGTCACAATTTGAAAAAAAAAAAACATGAATCATTTCTTCAACCTAAGCCGTGGCACTAGAATCGTGATGAGTAACGGAATCGCCACGGGTGCGGGTCACGAATCATCATCCGTAGGCAACTCGCCTGTCGCCGTTCACAATTAGATCTCGTTCGTATGTGTGCATCATTTGCATCGTCTTTTACTTACACCTTCTCGCTTTCGTTTGTGTCCCTGCGTTCTATCAGCCTACAAAGTGACGTTTTCATTTCGTTTTTTGAAGGAAAAGCAAACAATGCATCATTGACCATATTCCTGGCGATTCAGCGTGCGTACCGTGTGCATTAAGAAGCGACGTTAATCGTCGCGCGTCAGGACAACAAAACAACGCACGCTAACGTATAAAACCGAGTATTGGTAAACTATTTTTTAAAAATGCGCACCGAAGGAAGTAAGAACCGACGCGACGACTTACAGACTTGAGGCGTTTGATGGCTTCCTCGCACACTTGCATTCCCCTCGAATCTTCCACCTCCACGCAGCCCAGGTACTGCTCCGCACAAAGACAAAGATTCCCTCTATGAACGACTAAACAGACTGTTGGGGCAAGTACTGTTAGCGAGCACCTATGAAGGCCGGAACGGCACACGACAGGGTGTGGGTAGGTGGCCGGCACCACGCCCGGCCGCCTTTGTCTCCTTAGTGGCGATGTTTAACACATCGCACCAGGTGCTCATTTGAGGCTGAGTAGACCTAGGGGAGGCCTAAGACCGGTTCAGATAATCGTTACTGGTGTTGGCTGTGAGCGGGAATCGAACTCGGGTCGCCGAGTTATAAGGTGCAGTGCTCTCAACCACGACTGCCCCGTACAGGACACGCAAACACGTTCAACCAACTTTGAATTCAACTTCACCCTCATTTATGGTACGTTTGCTTGCCGCTATTCACGACACCACTCACTCATTCCCCGCTTTTCATCGCCGCCACCCATTCCCACGAACTTCGCTCGTCAATCGGCCAAACATCCCACCGCAGGGCGCTCCTGTCGACGAGTCTTGAGACTCGGCGAGGCTTGCACGTAGAAGAAGACCTGATGCAGGCAGTGACGAAAAGGAAACTGGCACTCCTCCTCTTCCCCCTCCCTCTCCACCCCCTCCCCCCTTCGCACTCCCACGTCATTTCTAGGTCAGTTTGCTCATTAAATAGATTCGGAGCTGAGACAATTAGTCAAACCAAGTCGAGTAATGGAATTGAAATGCCTCCCCTTGCATTACACTGAGACGGTAGGAATAGTACGAAAACAATTCCCACGTACATGTGTCTATTTCAAGCGTAAAGCAAGCCGTGCCGGAGTCAGATTCGCCACCGATGTCCCGCTTGCTTCGCTGGGCGACACGCCCCGGGCATTGACCCTGAAGGACGGACAGAGGGTAAAGGGTGCAGCCCCTGCAACAGCTCGCTCACGCACACTGCTGGCAGAAGGTGCTCCACTCGGGGAGGCACTAGGACAGCCTCTCTCAGTCCTCAGAGGGCTTTGGCCTACTCTTCCATGCTGGCAGAACATCTTGGAAGAGGAGACGGTACCCAGACTTTACCCCCGCCACATTAACCTTACCAATCCGGCTCACGTTGGTGCAGCAAGTTTTACTGCTGGATTGGCGGGAGGCGGGGGTGTGATTTAAAAGAGACTTGCACCGATTTTTTTTTCAACTGCCCCTGCCAGAAAATCAGACCGGCGACCTCAGCTTGCTAACCATCGCAGCCCACCCTGGTTGGGTTTTAACTACGCTGCCCAAGAGGGCTTTGTGTGCTGTGTGGCAGGCGAGAAAGCACAGCAGTGGTGGCATTAGGCAAAAAACGGACCCAGGGAAGAAAAAAAAATCGCTGCCACTGCAAGTTTTTCCTTTGCTCTCGGAGAAACCCCGAGGGAATGTGACATTCTGACAAACTCACGGCGTCAGCGATCTAAATTCACAGCAAATGAGGTGCTAATTACGATTAAAATTAGTGGGGCGGGGGTGGTGGTGGGATTCAATTTAAATTCGCCTCGGTAAAGGAAATTGGAGCGATGCTCCGTGGCGACGCTGGGGCAAGAGCTTCAGTAATTCCAGAGCGCGTCTCTCCTGGTTCCGTGGCTTGTGTGCCCCACGGCTAATAGCTGGGCTAGGCATCGGTGCACTGAAATGCAGGGCATGCGAGCCTAAACACGAGAAAATTAAGGTCAGTGGAGTGTTCACCGTGGGCTCTGGGTTTAGGTATGTGGTGCCTAGAGGTAAATTAGTCCTCTTTTTATATATATACTGGACCGTACCGAGGTGTCGGTGTAATTAGCGAATTGTGCTATGAACCCCAGAGAATAATAACACAAAACGAGCTATTTATGTGCCAAAACCGTCACCCATTATATATATATATTTTCCCTTTTAATGCCACGGTTTTATTGATGAATGTGCTGAGCTTTTAATAAAACGCAAATAAATCCACCAGACGCCGACGCTGAACCGTCAGAAACACCGCTGCAGCACCTCCAATTAGCGCAGTTGGCTATGTACGGTGCGAGAGAAGTTCAGCGTCATGCATACAATTCGGTGTTGAATCCGGTGGTGCGCGCACGTTTTTTAGTGCGATCCAGCGATAGACACCAGGAAGAGCGAGAGGTGCTCTGAGGATTGTGGACGCGTGGATCTGCTCCGTGTATGTCCTTCTCCCCTATTCCATTCCATTTCCCCCCCACTCAGAATCATGGATCACGATGATACTCAGTGTACGTACGGAATATAGAGAACACTTTCTAACGGTTATTATACAACATTTTAGTTCTGGTCTCTATCACGGTATATTATTTGCGTGTTTTTTTGTTCTAAGCAAGGCTTAATTTCAGCTGGTGCTCTGCTGGACTGAGGAAGTCATCACCACCGCTGGCACCCCTTTCTGTCTGGGGGTTGGGGGGGGAAAGGGATGGGGGGGGGGATGGAATGGGAGGTGGAGGGTAAGGGATGGGGAGGAATGGGGTAACGAAGCTGAATGATGATGGAGAGGTCGCAAGGCCCCAGGAAATATTCAGTAAGAAATTAACCTCCGATTCTAAGGCAGTGTTAATGCTGCTTTGTGATATATATGTGTGTGTGTATATTTTTCTACATCCCACGCTCACAACTTGTTGACCTCCCATCTAAACATCCGCCACTCCCACAGGAAAAAAAAAACATCCTCCTGCCGCGTCAGACAGAGAGCGCGCTCTGGAATGACTGATTGGCCACATGGGCACCGCCGAGGCACACTCTGGCAAGCACGAATGCACTCACAAAGCCGAACGAATGAATAAATAATGATCCACCTTATGCGCACTCGAGAATCCAGCGAGGCCCTCACGTTGCGATATGTACCGCACGCGAGCAAGGCACGCGGAGAGGCGTCGGCGTCATGCAACTCGATGGGCTGCTGAGTCTGCGACCAAATGCGTCTTGTTCTGTGTGTTTAGTTTGTTGTCCTTCCCCTGCACCTCCGATTAGCACGGTTGGCTACGTACGGCGTCAAAGAAGTTCAACGCACGTACGTACAAATCGCCCTCAATGCGCCCGATCTCGTCGGATCTCGGAAGCTGAAAGCAGCGGTGGCCAACACAGCAACGGATCATTGAATCCATCTACGGGGAGCTTCGTGTTCCTCCCCTACGTCCGTGGTGGATTTTCTCCAGTTACTCCGGTTTCCTCCCATATGAAGCTAAACACTCGATACTAGGATTGGCCAAACATCCCAGTGCAGGACTCTCCTCGACAATGGTCTCGAGACTTCAGCGTATCTTTCCCGATTAAATAAAGGGAATTATTGTTAGACGAAGACCAAATCACCCCGGTTAGTGCTTGGTTGGGTATCTTTCACACACACCAGGTGTTATAAGCTGCAGTTCTACGTGGTGGGCAGAAGAGGGCAATTCAGTAGAATCAATTGTTGCACTGTGCTGCTATGTTCCCGTGACTATGCTCCGTGTCTTCATCAACCCACACTGACCAGCGCAGAGAAGTACCGGTCAAACAAACCCACACGGGCTCCCATGACCCATGTGGGGAGGCCCTCGTCCATCAATGGATTGACGAAGGGGCAGTGCGTGGCCATGCGCATTCAAGTAAATAAATAACCATCGCCTGTCCCTTCTCATTCCACAAAGGAATGGACGAAGTCCTCCCCCATGCAATGACGGTCAGCGAGGTTTATTTTTTGTACCACACACTTCACCACGCTGGTCCGCGTACATTAAGCACTATGTACGTATGTCTATATGTTGAACGTCCGTCGCACCACAGTACTTCCATTACCATGATCATGAATACGACCACCGATAGCGCAAGGCGTCCGGCAATGACTCACCTTGACAGGGAAACTGCATTGCCCGCGTCTCACCGCCTCCTCATCCGACTGCCACTGGTGAGGGCGACTCGCCTCCGGGACGTAGTTCTCTTTTCTCTGTCTCAGACTCTGCCGCAGTCTGTGCATTGCTCCTCTCTCTCTCTCTCTCCGTCTCTCCGTCCCCCTCTCTCCCCTGCTCGTTGTTTCTTTGGCAATCTGTCGGTCGCTCCCTCGCCGCACCGCAGGCCGTCTCAGATTTCTCCGCAGTGGGTGGGTGCGGGTAAGCGGAGCGCGTTGAGCGGCGGTGGAGATCGAATAGAGAGTTCCGTCGATACTGCCAACCTGTCGGAAACCGAGCCAATGTCTGGGGTAGCGGAGTGAGTGGGATGAGGCAGGTGGAGGAGAGTGTGGAGGAAGGGAGCAGAAAGAACGACACACACACAGAGGAACACACGGAGCAGTCAGCGTTGAGAATGCGGCGCTCTGCCAAACACGGGAAGGTTCGGCGCCGCCAGACCACCGATGGAAATCGCAGCACCACAGGCGGCACCGAGAGACAGGCCACAAATTCAGCAGCGGCACAATCACTGACTCACAGCCACCCTGACAGCGAAGGCATTCAGTCGACACACACACAACTCTGGGGTCGGAGCAGTGGCGTAGTGGTTCACGCACTGCACTATACACCACATTCACCAGCCTGCATTTACGAGCATGATGAAGAATGGTCAAACAAATACCCTCATTGGCACAGCATTGGAAGGCCTTCACCCAGCAGTGAATTTACAGATATTGCTGAGAATATATTATTCGTGTGAATAGTTTAATTGTTTTATACGTGCATGTTCTTGAATATGTACAATATTTAGAGTTACAATGCATGATTTCTCTCAGGAATAACTATCTATTTCAAATAAATAAATATGCAAATAAGTGTGCTTAGCTGAAAGGATCAATCTCTTGTCGTTTGCTACGTAGGTTTGAGTTAATATTATTCTCTTTCTCAAGAAAAAAAGTTTCTATTTTATATTCACCTGGCAAAATTAACGGTGAACGTTAGGCCACGGACATGTTGATGCCCCTCATACAGAGTTCATGAAACAAATCATATCCCCGTTATCACAGTTCTAAATATCTGTGTCAGTTAACTCTTCAAAAACTACGACTGTAATTGAATGTTTATTGATGTTGGATATAGGTTTACATTTTAATTGTACACAGAGTAAGGCAAGGAAGCACAGGCCTAAAGGAGCAGGATGAGCCTGGCGATTGCCGAGAATTTGGCACGACTCAGTGAGGCTTTCCCGGTTAAAATAAAAAGGTAAAACAACAAGACACGGACTGCCCAATTGCAACCCGTCACGTGTAACCCAGATGAGCGCTCACAGGGATCCCTGCAGCAATGAGCTGACGCTGGCAGGCTCCCAAGTTACCCACGGATCCCATCAACCTGGCCCGCCAAGGCAATCTGCTGTGCACCTGGGCAGCCCATACCCCATGCATTAGGGTGGGTAAAGTTGCAGCCTTGCAATTATTCGCTCACGTCACTGTTGGTCGAAGGGCCTACGCTAGAGGGGTAGTTACAGACAGTCGCTCTCGACGGCATTTGGTCTATGTTAAAAATACACTATGGAAGAAGTTGGGAGTACCCACACTTTAACATCACCAACGTAATTGACTCACTATGCTGTACCCATGTATACTGCTGGGTGGACAGAGTATGTGGGAGGCGGATTTGAGATATCCATCCACTTTTTCAACCACCGCGCCGGGAGATAAAAAAAAAAGAGTCCAGTGGCGCTTACCATTACGCCCACAGCAAGCGTGGCAATAACGGCATCTGAAACGACGTGGCAGGGGTCTGCCGCAACTTCAAAGGACGCGTGCAGCAGAGCCATCTGTGTCTGCGTTGTGTGAAAGCAGCTAGACTGAAATTAGACTCAGCTGTGATGCGCTTTTATAATATTGCTGCTGCTGCTGCCTGCGAGGGGGTAATCATTTTTACATTGCGCACCAGCCACAGAAACGTGCCAGAAAGCAGTGTCATGTAAATTCAGAAGGAAAAAAAACATCTCATTAGTGGAGCGCCCTGGGATTAAACACATTTCACTCACTTGGCCCTTAGAATCACAAGGAGAAAGAGACGCACTCTCTCTTTATATATACTAAACTATTTTTTTTTATTTTACCAGGTAAGGCCCACTCAGCTATATAGCTCTTTATCAGAAGGGACCTGGCCACAAATGTATAGCAGCCAAATACTCTAAATGCATGCTTCTGCAGAAAATAATCGCAAACGGGTGGACAAATACATTTCCATGGCGTGTGGGCTGGATAGCTTTCAAAGATGCGGAACATAATAGCAGTCTAAACGCACAACATTCTGGACCGGGTTTTCAACAAAAAAAACAACCCAGCAACGTGCTTCACGACATCACGGGAATGAGGCCTTTAAATAGAAGTGTCCGTGCCAGCTGAATTGAGGCACTCCACAGTTAGTGCCGTGCATTATTAAATTCAGAGATATAAATTACTAACAGCCCTTTGTGAGTCCACTTCTATATGAAGGCCTCCCCACCCACAGGCACCAGTTAACATATCGCCCCACCACTGATGTTAGCCGCGCTAATCAGAGAGATTAAACCAAAGCTTAACAAATTGGCGAATGAATAGTCAAATATAGAAACGTGAGATTCAATAATCCTGGCCCAGGAGCTCAGGACCGAGAAAGATGATGGACAGCTTGGGGAGGAACTTCGTCCAGCAGAGGATTGATCATTACTGACAATGATGCTACTAAATAGAAAATAAAATCTTTTAACTTTTTTTTATTAACGTATTCAACCCCGCTGGACTCCTGAAAGCCAGAACAAGTACATTTTATTTTCGTGTATTTCAAATGGATATTCTTTCCTGTGACCTTCATCTGAGTGCCAATTCTATTGAGCTGCTCTTAATGGATTACATCCCCTAACCTCCGCCACAATGCAGATGAAGCGACCCCTCTTACCACCACCACCACCACCAAACCACCAACCACCACCCAACCACCACTCCTCCCATCATCTCCGATTAGCACGGTTGGCTACGTACGCTGCGAATGAAGTTCAATATACATCACTTTCAGCCAGCCCCGACTTCCCTCCCGCCTCCCCGTGCTCAACCATGATTTATCCACTGCTGAACGAAGGCCTCCCTAAGCCGTCACCATCTCTCACAATCCTATTTGGCTGCTATACACTTCCGCACGATAAGCCGCTTCGTTGAGCTTGTTATTTGTGCCCAGGTCGCTTCTGAAAAAGAGAGCAATATATCTCAGTGGGCTTTACCTGGTGAAATAAAAAAAATGGTTTAACATTTTAATTTGCGAGTATCCTCCGAGAGGCGCTACATCCTTTGGCTGCTACTCACTCGTCACGACACCCGACCATCGGCCATCGTCCTTTCTAGCGACATGTCCTGCCAAAGTCCCACTCGGTTTTATTGACGCTCATCATTGCATCTGTGACCTGCTCAACGCTCTCCCAGCGTGTTCTGGTATACGAATCCACAGAAATGTTCTCCAAATTCGCTATTAACGCCGCCTCATAATTCACTAAATAAACATGAATCAGAGTCTGAATATTTATTTGTACTGGAGGAATCCGATGAGCTATAAAGCTCTTTTTCACACATGTCCAGTCGGGGCACGGGGTAAGAACGTTACAACAAACAGTACAAAAACATGATAGTAGTGCAAAGTACAAGCAAGGTAAGACATCACCCAAACACAAACTAAACCATCCCCATCCTACCAGTCCAAGCCCACTGAGGTATCAACTTATTTTTCAGAAACGACCTGGGCCACAAATGATAGCTCAACAAAGTGGCCCATCATTTGGACACTTATAGTACCCAAATCATCTAAAAAAACTGACGGTTCAGGCTATGGCCCTGCTTCAGAGCCGACCATCGCCCGCCCCCAATCCCTTCTAGAAGCCGCGCTGCACTTACAGTAACAGAGCGGAATCTCTTTAAATCTCGGGTTGGTGTTTAACCCCAACAAACTCCACCGCTCCACGCTTTCGCGGAAGGGCAACAGGAGACCGCGCCACAGTCAACATTCCTCAAAGACAAATCCGCCACCCCCATCGCCCGAACCCCCCCACTGTGATTTCATTAACGGTATCAATGGGTGGACAGATGCAGGACCCCCCCCCCCCCCCCACACGCACACCCCCACCCCATCCACGGGCACCTGTCACACAACTGCGCTTGGTTAAAAAAAGCCGTCGTTTCTCTTTGTGACACCACGGGACCAGAGCGTGAGTGAGAGAGCGAGAGTGAGAGAGTGAGAGAGCGTTAGTGAGAGAGAGCGTGAGTGAGTGAGAGAGCGTGAGTGAGAGAGTGTTAGTGAGAGAGTGAGAGAGAGTGTGAGTGAGAGAGCGAGAGAGTGAGAGAGAGCGTGAGAGAGCGAGCGAGAGGACTTTTCAGACCAAGCGCACGACGAGACGCAGCAACAGCCGCGGAGTGAACGCTCATGGCCAACACCGATTGTCTTAACCGGTCCTGAGCTTCCCCTAGGTCGTCTCGGCCTCAAATGAGTAGTACCTGGTGCGGTGTGTAGTTAAACATCGCCACTGGGGAGACAAAGACGGGCCGGGCGTGGTGCTGGCCCACCCACCCCTTCGTGCGCCGTGCCGGCCTTCATAGGTGCTCGCTAACAGCGCTTGCCCCAACAGTCTGTCAAGGCTATACGGGGGATCTTTGGCTTTGTTTTCGTGCATGTGGGCCTCCCGTACGTCGGCTCAGCCTGAAATAGGTACCTGATGCGGCGTGTAAGCATGAGCACCTCTCATTTGGCGTTCCGGCCTTCATAGACGCCCGCTAACAAACATTTGCTCCAACAGTCGATTACTGGATTGAACACGGGGGAATCTTTTGTCGCTGTGTTCACGAGTGGCAATGGTGGAAGGTGGACGACGACGAGGCGATCCGAGCGAGGAGATCTCCCGGCGCTTGAGAGCGAAGCGCGTGGTCGCTGTGGGTGGGTTGGACCCATTGTGTATTGCGGGGCTATCATCATCATCATCATCGTCGTCATCACCGTCATCATCATCGTTTATTCGTCATACCGCGCCCCCCTTGCAGTGAAAGACGCCGTTTGAGAAAATCACTCGGTCAGAAAGTTCCAGCAGATCAAATGCAACGTGCAAAAGGCGAGGCGGTATAAACGGGGATGGTATTTCTCACTCCATATTTTGCAGAACGAGGCTAAGACTGGATGGAAGTAAGGATCATCGGCGTAAGGCACTACCACTAAGAGTACAAGGTACACTTATCCACATTAATACTATACGTAATATTGTACCCTGCATGGGGCAC